ATTTGTGCTGCGAATTCTAAATCAAGTGCGACAAAAGCACTGCTAATATTAAAAAATGAAATTATCAAGCCACTTTTAATTTATTAATTATCGCGTGTGTACAGAAACGTAAAAAACGAAAATGTCTATTAAAAATATGGAATTTTTTGAAGACTGCATCATTGTATTCGTGTCCCAGGTGAGTTTTTCAGTATAAATGAAAGCCGGTCTAATTATTGTGTATTGTTTAGCTTCTCTTCTTTGCTGGTGGATGGTGGTTTTTTGTTAAGCAATTATTTAAAAATTATGAAATTCGCCACATATCTGTGCAACTTATATTCTCTGTGACATTTGCTTTATCCATAACCATGTTTGAACTAATCATTTTCGAAATTCTCGGTGTTTTGGAAAGCAGTTCACGTTACTTTCATTGGCGTTTAGGGTTAACACTTCTCCTGTTAATGGTGATTGCAGTTATTCCATTGTATATATTTTATTCAATTGTTCATAGTATAACCTTCGGTAAGTGGTCCTTAGTTTCAGAAAATTGTACTTTTTTCATATCCTTTTCTTTTCATACAGTATCCGAAAAATGGGTACGGATCATAACTATGAGTTGTTGGCTTGCTTTTCTTTATGGTCTATGGCGAATAGGCGATCCATTTCCTTTGCTTAGCGTTTCACATGGTATATTCACTATAGAGCAGGGCGTCTCACGTATTGGAGTTATTGGTGTTACCGTAATGGCCGTATTATCAGGTTTTGGAGCTGTCAATTGCCCTTATCAAAGTATGACATATTTTATAAGGTAAGCCTATAAAGGGCATAAGTTTAGACGTTCGTTAATACTAATGTAGAAATTTATAGGCCAGTCTCTCAAATTGATATAATAACTTTGGAAAGACGTTTGCTACTAACGGTAGATATGCTTACCAATAAAAAGAAACGTATGGCTTTGGAAAAACATAGACGAAACAAAACCCATCAAACCAAGACAGGATTATGGAACATATTGAGTTCCGCGGTAAATCGGGTAGATGTAGGAGGTGAAAGTAAGTAAGTTTAGCTTATAAGAAAGCAAGACAAAAGCCCTGTATCTTTATAAATTGCAGATATTAGTCAACTAAGGATGGAAATTGACGGTTTGGAGGAGTTGTTACGCCATATATTTTTGGAAGTTAATTATCTGAAAAATATGCAAGAACGTCAGAAATGGTCAAAAACTTTACAGGGTCGATATTTTAACGTTATAGGACACTTTTTCAGTGTTTACTGCTTGTGGAAAATACTGATAGTAAGTATATCATATTTGTGTAGTTAAAAAAAGTAATATAATACGTACATATATATATATATGTGCGCAATCCTATCCGATAGTGTACAGCAAATATTATATTCGATCGGGTGGGCAAGAAAGATCCCGTTACTCGAGGTTTTGAAATTGCCGTGCATTGGTGCGGTTTCGATATAGATTTAGCATTCTGGAATCAACATATATCGTTTCTCTTGGTAGGCTGTATTGTCGTAACTTCTATAAGGGGATTGTTGCTAACCTTAACCAAGGTAGACAAATCTCATAATATTAATCTTTTCAGAAATATTAATCTTTTTTTTCTATGGTCGCATTTTTTCAGTTCTTTTATCGCATTTCTTCTAGTAAATCGTCAAACATTATAGTTTTAATTCTTGCACAAATTATGGGCATGTATTTCTGCTCTTCGGTGTTATTGATGCGTATGAATATGCCTGCCGAGTATCGTGTTATCATCACACAAGTGTTAGGTAATTTACACTTTAATTTCTATCACCGTTGGTTTGATGTGATATTTCTTGTTAGCGCTCTGTCCACTATTATTGTATTATATTTGTCACAGAAGCCAACAAACTATGGTCACTCGTCATTACAATAAAACTGCTCCTATTACAAATTAACACAATATTTTTATTCTTAAGAATTTCTTTGAAGAAAAAATTTGTAAAAATTTTCTCACTGATAAAACTTCTTGCACTTTTTCCAAGAAAAAAAAAAAAAAATCTCTTTTTCTATATTTAATTTGCAGTGTAAAGTATAAAAACCAATTTTTTTTAATATGTCTGCATAAATAATTTTTAATTACTTCTTCTTTATATAAATGCTTTTGAAAATAAGGAAACTAAACTTATATTTATTATCTTAAGGCGAATATTTATATATCAAGTTTTTAGACATTTTATCCTTTTTCTTGATTTTTGCAATTGTTAATTTTCCTCCGCTTGAAAAATACATGTACTTGATTAGGGTCTTTGATCTTGTATCTTAACAAATCGTATATCAAGAATTAGCTGAAAGTTGAAAATTTCGCTTATAATTGAAAAAAGTTTCCATTGAAATTTGCATTATTTTTTTTCGGGGCAAGTTTGACGTAATCGTGAACTCCGTAATTGAATAAACCTTGTTTTCTTATTATCTGAACATCAACGATGGCATGCAAGTCTATATGAATGTCGCCTGCACGAAAATAACTTGGTAAACGAAACTGTATGTCAGAAGTTATATCCAAAACTTGATTGCGAATATTTTCATGTCCAGACCCATTTTACGCTCTATCTGATTCTTACTAGTGAGTACCAAAGTTGATCAGAATAACAGAACATGCAGGCGACGACGGTCAGTATTGAACGACTCATGAAATCAAAAAAAAAAAATCCCACGAAAGCCTGGGATGACAAAGAAGTTTGATTCATCGATGGTAAATTTTAAGTCTATTTAGTCATGTCACCTTGTCCGGTTAATCTTGCTGCTATTATTATACGCTTGCGCGTATTTTGATCTTTTTTCATTTGAAAAAGACATTTACTGACGATTAAGATTCGTGGATAGAAAAAAATAAACACTAAGGCAGTTAGTCAGTTAATGCTAACGGCTCTTTCCTACTCGACTACTCATGCGGATATGGAGCAGTTTGAAAAGCGAGAATGGGAGATCGAATTTTTCATTTATAATCGTGACAGCGAACATGTAACTTTGAGTTTTCAAGACGCAAGTGGAAATAGAAATGAGCTTAAGACCACATATAAATAATCAAAAATAATGGTTAGATACCATAATTAAAAAGTATTTTCCTTTCGAACATTCCAAATTAAACGTTGTCCGATGATGTGTAAAATATTTTTTCATTTCGCTCGGATAACACATTGAGGGGTAAATTAATAGAATTGTATGTGGACTTATATCTCTAGAGTTTTTCTATTTTTATACCCTATACCACTTGTGGTGCAAACGTAAGTTTGTGCGAATGTATACAACACCTAGGAGGACTTCAGATAGATGCGCCTCTTATATCGATCGATTCGGAGCGGGCGTTTTTGTCCTTATGAAGACATTTTGGGTATTGCGACAGCCAATGGTTTTCGGTCGCTATTAGTACCAGGTTCAGGTGAATCCAACTGTGACGCGTTAGAAGATAATTCTTATGAAACAAAGAAGCAAAGACGTGAACGTGAAGTACATGCCCTACTCGAAAAAATACCAGCAGAGCTGATCACTTTGGATCCTAATGATATTACCACTGTTGACGTACCCTCACTTCAAGAGAAAGTGGACGCGAAAAAAGCTCTATTCTTTCTTAAACCACCCCAGGTGACAATAAACCCACGGCGTAAAATGAGGGGTCGTGGCGGAAGTGTTAAAGCGGCCCGTAATAAACAAATTGTTAAGGACATAAAGAGAAAGGTAAAACGCGCATATGCAGAAGACCCGACTTTCGAATAATTTCTAAATCAAACATTTTTACAGGAATTCATTGCAAACATCCGGCAAACCAAAAAATCCATAATTGCAACGCATAAGCAAGAGGAGGTCGGTGAAGACTTTTTACCTTTGGAAACACCTACTAGTGTTCTGGATCGTTTCAAGCCGAAGAAAATGAAAAAATAAAAAAAAACTATTTTACTTTTGTTTATATACTTCTATTAAAGTTCAATGTCAGTACATAGTGGCAATAATCATTTAGTCTTTCATCGGTTATACACTCATTCAGATTACTCGTTATTTCTCTTAAATCCTCTTCCCTTACACTTTGAGGATTCTGCCAATAGAACAAGTTAATGATATGCTTTTTACCCTCAACCACATCTAAGGCCCCGTTCACTTTTATTCTTTCCAAATTTCTCACCACATCGCTGAAAAGTTGTCGTAAGGTGCTTAAGAAGACTTCGTTCTGTTGCTTACCCAATTGGATCATAGATAATAATATCGATTCGCTAATCGATGATTTTAAAAGTAAATGAGGTAAAAATTCCAGAAATTCTTTCAATTCCTGGCAGTTATAAGCCTTATAAAGGCAAGAATCTTGGATAATTTCGCACAACAATAGTAGAAGTGTAGATGAGGAAATTGAATCGCCAAACTTATGACTCAGAAAAGATTTAACGGAGCTTTTCAGCAGAAGAAGAGTGCCCTCACGATGAGTCTGAAGCATTTGCAAGCCATTCATGAAGAGTAAACTCCTTAAAGCTTTTAAAAGGATAGATAAATAATCATGCTCCCGTTTCGGATCCATTGAGTCGATGACACCTTTTAAATATTTTAAAATGCATGAAAACTTTTCTGCTTGTATTTGCAGATTCCCAGCAAAAAAACGACACATTATATAACTGACGCAAACATTTTGATTGTAACAGTACGATGTTAACGGGGAAAGATTCGATTTTCGCGATCTCTTTTTGTTTACTGAATTTTCTGGGCCGTTCACTGAAAATTTTAGAAAGGTTTGATTAGATCTGTAAGAATTCTCATTTTCATATTGAAATAATACATTTACCCTCTTTGTCCCCGTCCATTAATTCGTAGGGAAAGCCAGTTTGCACAAAATTTAAAGCAAATATTTCTTTGTACTGATCCTGAAACCATAAACTCAATGCGTGATTATTAGTTTGTTCTTCATGAATATCAATTAGGAACCACAGATCTGCTATAATTTCTGAAACGATTTTTAAAGCTTGAGCGGCATCCGAATTTATTGAACGTTCTGTTCCTTCTCCTGAAGTGTGTTGCGGTCGCACTTCTAACCATGATTCCAACAACAAAGGCATTAAATGATCCACATATGATTTCAGTTGATTACATTCCTCGTGTATCAATAGATTGCCAGGCATGGCGTTTTCACCTATCGTTCTTTGAAATATGTTTGATAGATCGCATGGAAGATCATTCTGAGATGACCGTTTCACTCCGTAGTACTGTGGTACGTTTGCATTAAATATTAATGGATTCTTTTGCTTTCCTCCGCTTATTGTAAAAGGACCGCGACTATCTTTTTCTTCTTTCCTTTGGCTTACTAAATTGCTTAGCATTTGTTGCAAACGCAACAACACTTTGGAACGCCACTTAACATTCGTTTGCCTTTTTCCTATATTGAATGTTAGCATTCGACCGGCTTTACCACCATCCGCTCTTACCCGTGATATCATCTCCAGAAAATTTTGAAAAATCTTATGGCTATGTTTAGCAACCAATGATGGCACATGATCCAGCAAAACATCCAACATTAACAATGAATCCTCTTGTATATAAGGTTGTATATGGGTCATAGCACAGCGCAGGTACGAAGAAATTATATGAAAAAATGGCCCAATTGAGACTTCTTTCAGTGATTCAAACAGAATGCTCAATGTTTTAAAAGATTCTCTTCTAATATCGCGTTCCGCATCCAAGCACATGGAAACCACACCCTGGATTATTTCGTTTAGACAACCCAAGATGTCTAAGCTATTGTTGACAATTGCTTCTCTTAATTTACGCAGCGATTCTAAGCGAAAATTTGATCCGTGATGTTTGAGGCGATTTAAGGTTTCCTTTATATTGATTTGCCTTTGACCGTCAACATATTTTAAATCTTTTAATTGTTCCTTGATTGTTATTTTACGTATTTTAAACTCAGTCTTTGTAACATTTAAACCCTTAGGCAATTTAGCGCCTTTCAATTTAACTTTGGCTTTTTCGGCTCGTTGTTTCTTTTTATACGAGCCTCCCATTTGGATGCAATTTTAAGAAAGCTTCGTAAGAAAATTCAAATTGCACGTTTACTTTACAATTAAAGCAACAACAAATTCACTTAGGTCTTACAGAGTGAAGTAAAAGAAAAAGAAAACAAAAAAGTAGAGTTTCCGTTATTCATTCGTGTTCGAAATTAGGTATTTTGGTACAATTTTTAAAGGCTTACACTGCACTCGCTTCCAAAAACGGAATGCTTAGCATAAAATGCAAAAAAAAAGTAATAATGATGATGAAGGTGCTATCGGTATATATAAATAATGGTTTCAATATAGATAGACTTGTAAACCAACACATTTGATGAGTAGGGACGAAATCGAACGATATGTTTCGATAGAGATATGCATACTAGCTTATCAAACGCCGAAGCGGCATGAACTGTGACTTCAGTGTCATCTATTTTTTTTCTTTTTTAATTTGCTTTTGCTTAAATTAAAAAAAAAGGCAGAAAAACAAAACAACGGCAGTTTATTTCAAGTGTAAAAGTTATTCGCCCTTTCGTCAAATTTTATTGTATCTATCGTTCGTAAAACGTTCATAATGCCTAAAGCGAAGCTTTTTACGCGAAGATATTGAGAACGCGCCGTGACGGTGAAACGCGATGATATGCGAGCAATCGAAAGTAAATTGGGAACGCCTGTATCGTCAAAAGCTGCAAAAAAATTGAGCCTTATAAACTATACGATATAGGGTTGCATTTGTGCTGCGAATTCTAAATCAAGTGCGACAAAAGCACTGCTAAT